ACCTCGGATCGAGGCCATTGTTGATTTAATCTTACATGCTTTACGTCCAAATCATTCAAAATTACCCGCTTAATCACAAGTTACATCGTTGTTAAAAATCACATAACAACACACCTCATTTTACACTTTTCCTACACCAAAAAAATTAGCAACTACTCATCAAAAAAATGGATCTTGATATAATTTATAAGTATCAATTTTTTATTTTTATTGAAATATAAAATATTAAATTTTATATTTAATGAATGGAGAATGAATCTCATATATGTATTTAAATGAATGGATATGAATGTAAGTGTATGTTTAAATGGAGAGAGACTTAATGAAAAGATGACGTGAAAATAATATGAACGAGAGAGTGTGTTAATTTTTTATTGAACGAATGGACTATACAAGTAACGCCACGTGGAAGCTGAATGGTCATGGACCCAGAGTTCCCTCGGTGAACCCACACTCACTGGATTCAAACCCAAGTTTCGAAAAACCCAAACCCCCAAAATCACACCCAAATTCATTATCAGTCGTAGAAGCGCGCTCACAAATCCACACACAAGCTAGGGCTTTTTTCTTTGCTGATCAGGAAGAAATGGCGGCTAACGTTGGTGGTCGGAGTTTGAGGAAGCCGATGTTCGTTAAGGCGGACAGCCTGAAGCCGGGTACCAACGGCCACAATCTGGTGGTGAAGGTCGTCAGCACCGAAACCACTCTGCAGAAGGGCGCAGCCGCCTCGCCGCACCTCCGAGGAATCCGCGTCGCCGAGTGCCTCGTCGGCGATGAGACAGCCACCATCCTCTTCGCCGCCCGTAACGAACAAGGTATGGTCATTGCTGTGCTCGCTCGTGTGTGGGCTGTTAATTTGCAGAGATTGTAGCCTATATGTGAAAATGATTTTACTTCTCTAGAGAGAATTGATGAGATGCAAATGAGCTTTAACTTCTAGTTACAATAATTAAGGAATGAACAAATCTGATTGACCTATCTGGCTCGTAAAGTTTGGATTATGATTTTATCCAGTTAATGGATGAGTAAACTGATGATATTCTGTTTAATAAAACAAAACCATTTTGAACTATTGATGAGGCATAGCATCTGTAAAACTCAGTTTAGCACTGGCTGTTGAGAGAAAAGATGGCCACATTTTCGTATGCTGGTGAATATCAAGCTAGGCTCGGTTTAAATACAGAGCAGCTTAACAATTGAAGCTATTTCACGTTGTTTGTAGGTCTTTATCTATTGTCTTCCAACATGTTGGACTAACTTACTTTCTGTGGTATCTATTTTTCCGTTTTTTTTTTCTCGAAAGACTGAAAAAAAATTGTATTTCACTGGGTGCTCGAGGTTTAAAATATGACATTATTATGACTGAAATGTTGTTTGGAACCTGAGATCAACGTCTACAAATTTTACCCCATGTTGCTTGCTCAAGTCTTGTACTTCTCTTGGTATTTCGGACTAATATCCATTGTTTGTCTAAATGCTTTATACTGCTTTGATTCTACAAGAAATTCTGTAATGGTTTGTTTTGTGTTCGTGGTCCTATTCCATCTCGGGATGTCTTGCTGGCTAACTACTTAGAATTGCTTATGTATTGTTTTTTACCATGTAAAAACTAGTCATGTTTCTTGATTGCCCCACTGTCAAAGTCTTGTGTTTTATGAGAAAGTTGCTGTCTCGAGTTCAATTGTTGGACTTACTTTCATTTCTTGTGCATTTTTTTTTTT